GGTGGCAGTGTTGAAATCCCTCAAGCAGGAATTGATACTTTGACGTTTTTGGCTTCATGATTTAGTGACATGGGGCATAGAGGTCAGTAGTACTTTTAATACAGAAAAGGAAGTCAGAGGCTGACAGAGGAAGTGCTGTACATCATGTTTACATTAGTCACAGGATTATGGGTGATCCATCTGTAGAAAAAAAGACTTGTCTGGGTTAAGTAGCCTCAAGGTCGACAGGAACACTCTTGGGCTCCAAAAGAAGCAGAATTCTAAAGGTTCTTCTACACCTGCAGAAATAGTCTATAGTTTACATGTGAGTGAACAGAGTTCCTAAAATTGTTCTTGCCTTATTGGGGTTTTCTATAGGGGCTGTGTCTTGTTCTCAGGCATTCGAAGCATTTGTCAGCTTTTCACTCTAAATGGGGAGGAGGAAGAACTTTGCTTTATGGAGGAGTCCATACCAAGAACAGTACTATGAAAAACCTCTGCTGAGGAATGTTCATTTGTTTTGACATATTAAGACTGGCTGTAAAACACTGTTACTTTGTATAGGCGTCATCTGGTAAGACAAGACATTCTTGGTGGAGCCTCCATAAAAACGCTCCAATAGAATTAATTTATCTCACTCATGACTAACGGAGGGCAGGAAAAAATAAAGTACGCTTTGCAATAGTAGAAAATGGAAAAGCAGTTTCTTAGTAATGAAACAATGATGTAGTTTTTGAAAGGTTAGTTGGCTTTTGAGGGCTAAATAACTGTAAAACATACAGAAATGACTGGGATGCTCTATCCTGACTCCATGTCCCTGGGCTTTCGTGCCCAGCAGAACAACAGACCCCTGACAGTTTGATGTTGTTAGAAGTTTCCTAGAGCACCTCTCCCAGCCTTCTCATTTTATACATGGCAAGACTAAGGCCCAAAGGCTGTAAATGGTTTTCCCAAGTACCTGAGTGACCTTAGTATCCAGGATACTTGAAGACCCTCTAGAAGGGTCTTCCCAGCTCCATCCCTTAAACCGCAAATACAGTAAGCAGTGTTCTGTGGAGGTGACCTATACAAGGTAGTTATCTTTAAAGAGCATTCCAGCACACCTCAGGGTCTTCTTCTCAGAGGCATCCATCAGATAGCCTTGTTTAAAAGCATCACGTTAAACCATCCCATTAAGAAATAGAATGCTTAGGCAAGTTCTCTTAAATTTAAAAAAAAAGGGGGTGGGGAGAAAACTAAATTACCTACCTCTTGTCTCTCTTCCCACAGGATCATGTGTTTTTTACTGCCAGTATTGAGAAATTCATGGAAGAAATGTCAGCAGGAAGTAAAAATTCACGGAGAAGGGTGTGTGTGTTTGCTGTTTCCACACATTTACCGCATGTTTTTTTTTTTTTTTTTAATGCAAAGAGAAAAAAAGAAAACACCACCCACATTTTAATTTAGCATGAGCCAATTTACAGAGCATGGAAACTCACTTTCATTCCCGGGATTGGCGCGTGTGCAATTAGCAATGCAGTGTATATACAAGAAGCCATGCTGTTAACTGTTTTTCTCAAGTAATTTGGTGTCATTTACAAAAGGAAGAAATTCCTGCCGCCAGAAGGGACAGGAGGAGATGGAATGATCCAGTCGTGGAGAAACACTAAAATTACTAAATCCACAACAGCTCGCCTTATTTTTCTTGGACCCAAACTGTCAGGGTATAAACACTCTTTGTTTCTTTTTTAAAACATCGATAGTTTTGCTGTAAATAATGACACTGTATAAATTCTAACAGAAAAATAGAATTAATGTTTATAAGGCCCTGCCTCTTAGAACACAAACAGAATATTGCAAATGCATTTAACATAATAGGGATCTCAAGTGACTTCACACCCTAGGAGAAGGAGGGAGGGGTTTTGGGTGGGGGGATCTTCACTGATTCTTGTATATTAGCAATTATAATGTTTGTATATGCAAAACTGCTAGCTTGATTTTAAAAAAAAAAAAAAAATCTTTAAAATCTGCTGCAAATTTAAATAATTCCCAAAATGAGGAATTCTGTAGTTCTGTGAAAATTTTTTCTTCAGAATACTAATATTTTGATGCATGTGTATCACCTTATTTTGATTAAATCTTTTCCAATTTTGCAAACACTACAGTATACCGCAACACAGAAAAGAAGATTTTATCTGTAAACATAAAGCCCTTCATCTAATATTTGTTGCTGTTGCCAATTTTTCAATGAAATGACCTAAAAAATAAAAAAATAACCTTATACAGTAGTTGCTTTAGGGGGAGGGGGGTGCTATCTGTTTGTTAGTGCTTAAAAGGGGGTAATGCTTGCCGCTTTAGAGGTGGATGGTGCTCATAAGAGGCCCCAGTTGGGGGTATTTAAAATGGACTGAACAGAATCTCTTAGCTAATAGAATGGCAGCACGCTGTAAAATTATTCCTGTATCGTGTACTGGCTATAAAATGTAGACACCTTTCAGTAAGCCAATCATTTGTAACCATTCTAGCAGTGTCATATTAGGTTAATAAGGCTGCTGTGTTTTAAAGGGCATTTTTATTTGGGTTTTGGTGAAATTCTTTAATTTGTTGATTATATTCATATAAAATCAGCATTCATTGACACATAGCTCTAATGACATATGTATGAAAAACCACACACTGGATGACCTAGTTGATTATTTAAGCATAAAATAAATTGTGTTAAACTCTTCACCTATCTGTGCCATCCTGTGTTCTCTGGAAAAGGTAATTGTCTAACCCCTTGTCTTCATACGAGGCCTGACTATAGCAATCCACCCCACCAGCTGTATTCTCACCTCTGTGGTCACTAAAGGGATAGTCCTTAACTTCAGTTCTGCCCCTGCAGACTCCCAGCTACCATAGATTCTGTGCCTTTCATGGAGGAGCCAAAAAGTAAAGATGAACTGACAAGTAACCTTTGTCAACATTTGGTTCAGGCTGTCCCCAAATCCTGGGAATTGGGGCTGTAACAGCTGGCATATCCAGAGATTGTAAACTGGCAGCTCCAGGAACAATCCAGCCTATGGTTGTGTTTAACCCATAAAGCACTTCTTTGTTTTGTTTTTAAATGGACAGTCATTGTCAGTGCTTACAAGTTAGAAGATTTCAAGTAGTAACGTGACTTTCTAACCTCTCTTGAGAAACAAGATTTGGCAACAACAGGCCTCATTCCCCCAAGGCAACAACCTGTTGGAGCCATGTCACCTCTGCCCTCTCCAGGCACCACGGTCCCCGCTACACTTCTTAACATTTGTGTTATCGGACGGCCCTGGTAGCCATCATAGTTTGCAAGTCATACCCTAGATGATATGGAGCTTTAGTGCCCAAACGGTTAACCACTCAGCTGCTAATCAAAAAGTGGGCGGTTCAAACCCACCCAGCAGCTCTGTGAAAGAAAGACCTGGCCATCTGCTCCAGTGAAGATTACAGGCTAGAAAACCCTATGAGGCAGTTTTACTCTGTTACATGGAGTCACTACGAATCAAATGGCTCAGTGACAGCTAACACCACCACACAGGGGCAGGGACCATGGCTGTTTTAATTTTCATTCTAGCCCAGAGTTTGTCTAGTAGTAGTAATTATCATCACTAAAATTTGAGTGCTCACTATGTGCCAGAACTAAGTACACTAATTAATTCACTGAGTCCTCATAACCACACTATAAGGTAGGTACTGTCTTTGTAAGTAGTAATCCCTATATATATATATATATATATATATATATATATAAAAGGAGTGGTTAGAGCCATTCAGCAATATCATATATTGCCTGCCCCTTAAAGCTTATTATCATATGAAATGAGTTCCTAATAAGGATTCAATATCAACGCATAAAACCTGTATGGAGAACCTACTTTGTATAAACAATGGAGCTAGATTGCGTTTGCATGGTACCCTAAATAAATGGAACACACCCCCTACCCCCACATCAAAATCATCTTATAGATGAGCAAGATGAGACTCCCAAATGATGAAATAAAACTTGCTCAAAAAGCCTCTTTGTAAACGGAGGATCAGAGTCTAGGTTTCTAACTTCCTATCTGAGAGTTATGATTTCTGACTCACAGTTGTTCACATGAAGGTACTTACGCTGAACTAGAAACTCACTTGTGTGTACTTGTCCAGATACTAAGTGGGTGATACACTGTATTTATTATGTTTATATACCTGAAAACTTGGCTTTAGGGGTAAACTGGGATAAGTGATGGGCTAAGCTTCAGGTCAAGCAAATTTCATAAATTCACTCAGAAGTATCCAAAATATGAGTCACGATTTTATATGCACATATATATGGATACATAGACTGAATGGAAGATGTTTTATATTCCTAGTACAGCCTTTGGTCTGCCAGCTTAGAAAAATGTATTTAAGCTTTTGTTTGATGGACATTGCTGTAAAAAACTGAACTATGACTGATAAATTCCTGATACTTGCTCTCCTTTTCAATTTTATATTCTTGCCAAATTGTTGCATTTGTTAAGTTAAAATGTATTGTTGTTATGGTATTGCCAAATTATGGCAATACACTGTGGGATTATCATCACTTCTAGGAGGGGATCTCTTTCTCTACTGCATACATTATCAGCCAGCCTTCTTTCCTCTATAAATAAGATCTACCTTCCATTTTGCTGTCACTCTGGGGTTCCATCAAGACTGAGATTTTTATCCCGGGCAAATAAATAAGTTGTTTGCTTTCATTATAAGCATCAAATCTGTTTTGGCTATATGACAGGCGTAAAAACGGCCTAGAAGTGAATCAGAGGAGTGTTATCAATTAACCCCTCAAGTCTCTCTGAATAAGCCAATAATCCAAAAGCTAACTTCTTATGTGGGTGAGCCTTGGTGTTCTTGATTTGTTGAAGAAGCCCTGGCATATTAAAAGACGTGTAGTTACCTAGTTATATGGCACTGCGTCTCTTTCCTAAATAGATGTTCAAATAATCCAGAAGTAAACATTTCCAACATGTGAGACTGGAGCCAAAACTTGCAAGAGTTCTCTAAAAAAGACTCAAGGCGGTAGTGTGATTTATTTAAAAAACAAAAACAGAGTGGACTCTGACCAGCATCCTTAGTAACAAGCCGAGTAGCTTTTGCCTCTTTAATAGAATTAAATGCGGACAGTTCAAAAGAGGGTAAAGTGAAATTTATCATTCTATCTGCTACCCTCATTGACTAACAGCTATATATAATATGTACAACCCACATGAACCTACAGTGAAGACATCTTATTGTATATCCCTTGGCGGTTCCTGAGTTAGGCAGTAAACACCCTGAGGGTTGCATTTCCAACAGGATATCCTAGGACTCCCACCAATTCCAAAGGGGTTCCAAAGCAAAGTGAATGTGCTTGGAGGACTTTAAAGACAGTGAGAAGAACCACTAGTCCACGGGAGGTACACCAGGATCAAGAACCATCAGAACATTTCCTCTAGGACCACTTTGGAACTTCCTGTTAATACCCTCAGAAAAACAGATGACCTCCTTACCTAATTCCCCCCAACATCCTCAATTACTACTTCTCTTCTGCTAGCTCAAGCAATGGGATAATTCTGAGAGTGAAGAAAGAATGCTGGTTTGCCTGTCAAAAGTGTTCCATCCTGTGAGGTACACCACCAAGTCCTCATACTGTATACTCCCTGAGGGCAGCGACTTGGTTTTGTTCTCCATTACATCCATAGTACCTAGAATAGTGCCTGACACCTCATAGGTGCTCAATATTTGTTGAGGGTATGAGTGAATGAATCAACAAACATCAGAGGGCAAAAAACAGTGAACGGAGAACTCTCTTTGCTTTATAACGCCCTACTCCTGACTTCCCAAAAGCGAGATTCTGATTTTGTTCAAGCACTGCTTGCAGAATTTTTTTCCAGCGGTGAAAACAATCTTAAAACACAGTTCAAGTGCTTTGCTTGAGTGCTTAAAGCACATCTTTCAAAGAACAATAAGGTTTCCTGGAAATAAGCAGTTCCATAAAGTGCCTGGATGATCTATACTCAGAGGATCTAGAAAAAGCCACAGAGATCAGGGTGTTGTTGGACAAAACCAAAGAAACAAGCAGGTGTTTAATGAGACCAAGTTGAATACTTTCAAAAAGAGGTAGAAGCTCATACACACTGATGTTGGACAACAGGACCTTTCATTGTGGGGTCCAAAGAATCAGCGGTGGTATGCCATGTAATATTCAAATAAATGATGCCTTGTAAAAAAAAAAAAGTGAATGGGAAATATTCTGTGTACCATCTTGTGCACAATTTTTTTTTATAGGCTCAACCAAGCTAGGAATCAAGGGAAAGCTCAGCTTTTTGTTCCACTGACTTCATTCTCCAAGGATTGATTTGGTGTCCTCCATTCTCCACTGACCCTTTCCAGTTGCACAACCCTCCTATTAGCTGTTGACCTTTTGGTTGGCAGCTGAGCTCTTAACCACTGCGCCACCAGGGCCCCTCTTGTTAGCCACAAAGTCCTAAATAATTGGGTTTGGCTATAGCAATACCTCACAAGCAAACAGCATACCAGGCAAACTACTGAAGTGGGCATCTCTCCCATGACTGTGGACAGCAGTCCTCACCCTTATCACTAACTGTCTACTGAGAAACCAGGCAAGAGTGTGGAAAGCCCGTCATCACTTCTCATCTTTTATGAAAAAGTCATCTTAGTCTCCTTTCTTTCAGACATGATATCCAGGTAAATATAAAAGACTGGCTAGTTCATTGAAGATTTCTACCTCACTGTTTCTAAGTGTTTGCTGGGTTAATGAAGGGTAGCAAAGCACCCCTGGAAGACCCTGGGCCACATCCAGCCTTCAGAAATGTTTTGTCTGGACCACACAGAGTTTGAAAAAATATTTAAATGAATTGTCCACATTTTTTAAAAATCAGGAGATTTTGGATGAAAATTTGAATTCTCTTTACGATCTGAAGACGTGACTATCTTGTTTCTGCAGTTCCTTATGACAACAATCACTTGAAGTGAAGCTGCACCTCGACCTTCGGACTACGCATGTGTTTTACCATTCACCATGGTCCCTCTTCTCCTTATTACCTCTAAAACCCAACCTGCTTTATTCGTTTCTCTTCCCAGCCCAGTCTCTGATCTGGTTTGAGAAAGGAGTAGGTGGCAAATTGATAGCAACCTGCTTAAATCTTCCTTCTTTTTAGAAAGCCAAACATCTACCTCATTTCCGTCCTGCCTTTCTCAGTGCCAGTAGAGGGATGGAATAAAGGAGTGAGTAAGTAACTGAGAAGGGAAAGATGGATCATGTGGTTCTCCAAACCATCCATCCCTTATCTATCCGTCTTACTGAACAGCACATATTTGGTGTCTGCCATGTTTCAGGTGCTATCCTAGGCACAGGGTACATCTGGTTCTCTGCCCTCTGCCTTTAAAGTAAGGAGAATACAAACATCCTCTGTGTGAAATCTAAATCTAGGGCTTCTCAGGAAGGGAAATCCTAGAATGACTTACAGAAACAAAACTACTGCGGCACATCATAGGTGGTGCATGTCAGAGAACAAGGGAAGACAACGTAGGATGGAGAGGAATGGCCCTGTGGCTGCTGAGTGTATACAGCTTTCCCTCCTTCATGTCACACCTTGCAAGTAACCCTGCTATTTACAATTAAATGGAACAAGAGAACACTTTAAAAACAGTTGAAAAGTATTTAACCACACACCTATATTCATTGCATTGTTCACAATAGCAAAAAAATGGAGACTGCCTAACTGCCCTTCAGCAGATGAATGGATAGGCAAAACGTGGTACACACACAAGGGAATACTAGGCAACCATAAAGAGCAATGATGAGTCCACATAACATAACATGGATGGATCTGGAGGATCTAATGCTGGAGGTCAGTGCTTGGGTGCAGTGAAGAGCAGAACTAGAGCTACTTCAGCCTGGCTCACTAACACAGCTATCATGGCTAGTGTGCCTTGTGTAGGTGGAGCCTGAATCAAGAAGTAAATAAAGGGTATCTAGGGAAAAGCCTGTGAAAGCTTCACTCATTCAGGGAGGACACATGGCTCTCAAAAAATATGTAAAGTTAGTGGTGACAGCTGTAGCATGGTAACTCTCATGCTTCTGACTATGATAAATCTTTGAAGCTCCTCGATTCTCAAGTTTCATAGGCCAGAGGGGT